ACTTCAGTGTAGAGACAACATGCAGGTACTGTCGTTTGATCTGTGGCTGTTGCACGTTCAGGGGGTCCAGGTCATCTGTCTACTGGAGGGGGAAGATTCCTTGTCTGACTCAAGCTTCATGCTTCAATTTCAAAGCACATTCTTGACATTTCCTGGAGAAATAAGGACATGGCCATCATGACAATGGAGAGCAACAGACACTGTTCTGAACTTCACTTTCCCTATGATGCTTTCACTGTGTCTGCTGTAGATAGATGATCAAGAAAGGGGCCAATATAGCCAGGTGTTAGTGGTGCATGCCTTTAATCCCAGCACTTGGGAGGCAGAGGCAGACGGATCTCTTTGAGTTCGAGGCCAGGCTGGTCTCCAGAGCAAGTGCCAGGACAGCCAAGGCTACACAGAGAAACCCTGTCTCAAAAAAACAAAAAAAGGGGGGGGGGCAATAAATTGCTGAGTTGTCATTGACTTGATTCATTATTTTATGTGTATGAGTGTTTTTGTCTACACATATTTATGTGTGTACTACATGCATGCCTGATTCTTGAGGTCTGGAGAGGGTGTTGGATCCCCGGGGACTGGAGTTACATCTGTGGGCTGGGAATCCAAACACAGTGCCTCTGCAAGAGCAACAAGTGTTCTTAACTACTGAGCTAACTCTGCAGCTCCAAGGACTTGTTTTAAGGATCTTTGTTCTAATTCAGCTGCCTGCCTGGGTCAATCTGAGAGCTCTACTAGTTCCTTTTGGACCTCAAGTATGGGGACTAGGAGATCCCGAGAGCACAATAGCTCAGTTGGGCCCAAGCTGGTTGCAAACCCTTCCTTTGGATCTGCAGGACCAAGAAGGCTTGATGCTTGTGGACTATGTCCCAACATGGCTTATCAGCCCCAACCAAGGTGATAATGGAGGAATTGGGGTGGGGGTTGATGATAGGACATTGTCTTGTAAACAGGATTGCCCTTCAAGTGTGTGAAGAAAGTCCATTTACACAGAGTGGAGAGCACAGCCCTTGACAAGGAAGCAGAGCCCAAATCAAGGAAGTCCCAGTGACATAGACTAAAATCCTGGGTTGAACTCTGCCTGAACCAGAAAGCATTTGTTTAGAATGAGGTCCCCTAAAGGCCCGTGTGCTGACTGCTTGGGCTGCCATATGGCAGTGCTCAGAGGTGGAGTTCTGAGAGGTGAGTGGATTCCAGGCACCCTAGGTTTATTCACAGGTGGATTCTTACATGGTTTAATGAGTCAATGGGAGGTGATGGAAACAGGGAGATGCAGTGTGGTTGGAGGAGGCTGGCCACTGGAGGTTGTGACCCTAAAGAGGATTTTCTGTTCATTCTTGTTTCCTCCTTGCTAGTGGTCTACCATGAGATGAACAGCTTTGCTCTACCATGTGTTCCCCACAGTGATGGTCTGCCTTGTCACACACCCAGAAACAATGGAGCCGATCTTCCATGAACTAAAAGTTCTGAACCCATGGGCCAAAAGAAATGCTTCTGCCTTTGTATTGATACTCTCTCCTTCTCTCTCTCTGACTGGGTGGTTCAGTGGTTAAGAGTACTGGCTGCTCTTCTAGAGGCTCCAGGTTCTTTTCCTACACTATCTGTTGTTGCTCCAGTTTCAGGGAATCCGCCGTCTACTTCTGGACTCTGCAGGCACCAGTCACCCATGTATGCATACATATATAGGCAATACCTATGCACATTAAACTTTTTAATATTTTTTTCTGAGACAGTGTCTCTCTACATAGCCCTGGCTGTCTTGGAACTTACTATGTAGAACAAATTGGTTCTCAAATTCACAGAGAACCATCTGCCTCACCACCCCCCCCAAGTGCTGTGTGTGCCACCACACCTGGCTTTAAATTTTTTTTATGTTTATGTGCATTGTTGTTTTGCCTGCATGTATGTTTGTGTGAGGGTATCAGATCTTGGAGTTACAGGCAGTGTGAGCCACCTTATGGATGCTGGGAATTGAACCCGGATCTACAGGAAGAACAGTCGGTGCTTTTAACTGCTGAGCTATCTCTCCAGTCCCCTAATTTTTTTTTTTTAATTAAAAAAAGAATGAGGACTGGGGATGCAGCTTGTAAGGTGTAGCGAGATATTTGCCAGCGAGATATTTGCCAGAGATCCCGTAACAGTGGCCACGCCTTTTGGGCGTGGTTACAGGTGCAGACATGATCTGCTTAAGAGGTTTAAGAGGGAGGATCAGAAATCAGGGAGTCCCTTTGGTCTCGGAGGGCATAGGGGAGCAGGTTCTGTTTCCTTGGAGCAGGAACGCCGCTGAAGTTACTTTTTGTTTTCCGTGTAAGTTATTTACTAATAAACTGCACTTCAATTATACTAGTCTGGTGAATCCTAATTTCCATGCCTTCAGTAAGGTTCTTGCCTAGCATATATGAGGCCATGGAATCTATTCTTAGCAACACACACCAGGTGTGGTATGCAAGCCTATAATTCTAGCACTTAGGAGACAGGATTGCCCACTAGCTTGAGGCCAGTCTTGTCTACACAGTGAGTCCCAAACCAGACCAGGAACTATTTCAAAAAACCAAACCAATCAAAAATTAAATAAATAAATAAATAAATAGCACATTTTGTTGTTGTTGTTGTTGTTGTTGTTGTTAATACTTTGAGATAAGCCCTTACTAGGTATCTCAACCTGGGTTCAAATTCATGGGCCTCTGCCTCCCATGTGCTGAGAGTAATACATCTTAAGGATGGAAAATAGACACATTACGATTAGGAAATATGAGGGGGGCATGGGAGGATGGAAGGGAGAGAGAACTGGGAATGATTTGTAAAATAAGATTTTTTCTAATTTAAATAAAATTTTTAAAAAAGATTAGGAAAGATGATTCTGATTTTTGTTTATATAAAATTTGGTACTAAACCTTAAAAGTCCTCTTGTGAGAGTGTATTCCCGTTTGTTGCATATCGTGATCCTTAACCACTGGGTCCACCAAAAGTGTGCAGTCCTTTTCAGTTTGTCAGTCTGATAGAGGTGGAATGGGACTTCTCCCTTGAATCCTCATGTGGGGACTTATTTGGACATTAGAACATGTGTTTGATTTTTAGAGGCCAGTCTAGCCCATTAGACATGACCCATGCTCCCAAATTTCTCTGGACCAACCTAGGCCCCTAGACTTCAGGGACTGCCCAGCTTATCTTTATGTTGCCATCAAAAGAAGTCATATTGGTTGCTTTAAATCACTTTGTTGTCATTATTTCATTTCCTTTTTCAGTGACAAAACTCAAGGCCTTGTACATGCTAGGCAAGTGCTCTACCATGATACTTCGTCCCTAGTTTTGTTTTTAAGACAGGATCTCAGTATGTAACTCAGGCTGGCTTGGATTGGCAGGCACCACAGGTAACCCAATCTACTAAATTTTGCAATCAGGAAGCAAAAGCTGAGACACTCTAACCCTAGCCCTGATTTCTCATGTCACAGCACATCATTTCTTCCACACTATTCAAAAATTATTTACCTAGTTTTTGAGACAAGGCTAGGGTTACAGGTGTGCCACCATGCCTAGTGATTAAATATTTATAAGCTTCTTTTGGTTGCTAACACCATAGATCAGTCAGCTTAAGTAAAAGGAATGCAATGAGAGGTTCCCGAGGCTTGTTAAGGGGTAGGGAGAGGAGTCTGACCTCTGTGGGAATCTCAGCAGTGGCGGCTTCCTTAATTCCTGTTTCCTACCAGAAAATGGCTCTGGACAATTCCATGATACAAATAATCAGTTCAAGTTCTCAGGACAGCCAGCTAGGCTGTCCTTTGAACCACCCTGAAGGATCAGTGTCTTATCGTCACGACTTTCAGCTACGAAAGGGTCCAGGCAGGACTAGACACCTGGGAATAGTTCATCTGAACTGAAGAAATATCAGAGTTAATCTGCCAACTGGAAATGGTTACACATCCTGGCTTGGGCCTACTTTTTGTTTTTTTAAACTACATTATCTTTCCTTGAATGTCTTTCCTTTCAAAACTTCCTGCAGCTACTGCACCAAGGCTCCTTTTCACAAACGCAATCCGTAGAGCAGGATTCCATCCCTGTAACACTATACATTTTGACAGAGCCGAAGTCAAACATTCGCACCGGTCTTTGAGCAGGCCCCGGGGTGTATGTCTGTCTGTCTGTCTGTCTGTCTGTCTGTCTATTTATTATTAATATTGCAAAAGTTGACCTGTAGATAAGGATGAGGACAGGTGAGGTGAGGTGGCTTACACCTGTAATTCCAGCACTTGTGAGGTTGAAGCAGGATTAGAAGTTCAAGACCAGCTTGGGCGGTGGAATGTGTGCTAGGCCATCCTGGACTACCCGAGATTTGTCTCAAAGGAGGGCTGGGGAGGGGAATATATTAAAATAAGAAAAAAAAGTCTTAGGGCCTGAGTGAACAGAGAGGAACGAAGCGGGACACATGATTTGGGCTTGGCCCAGGTGCTGGTTGCTCACAGGCGCAGGTTGCACCTAAAG